AATCTTCAAAATATTCCTTTAAACCAGGTAATGTTAGCTTACCCCAAGATATTTCTGAATAAGATCCCGCTTCCCTTCCTCATCCAGTAGATGGGCGGGTACAGGGGGGTGCTTGAGGATTTCTACAGTAGCCTTAGGATTAAACTTAGCGTTCCCTTTCCTGTTCACAGCTCTTTCATAGATCTTCTGGCTTTCACTGGGAGAATATCCTTGGATCTTAGCCTCGTTGATAGAATACAATTCCTAGATACAAACTTGTGAAATATATGTTAAATAGTAATAATATAGACTAAATATTTAATAGTGCCTGAGTAACAGTGTAATTAACTAGTTTAGTTTACCGGGTAAGTAAATAATTGACGTGGTAAATAAATAATTGACGTGGTAAGTAAATAATTGACGTGGTAAGTAAATAATTGACGTGGTAAGTAAAAAATTGACGTGGTAAGTAAATAATTGACGTGGTAAGTAAATCATTGACGTAGTAAGTAAATCATTGACTAGGTAAGTAAATCATTGACTAGGTAAGTAAATCATTGACTACGTAGGTAAATAATTGACTAGGTAAGAAAAGACGTGACTAGGTCAGTAAATCATTGACTCGGTAAGTAAATCATTGACTAGGTAAGTAAATCATTGACTAGGTAAGTAAATCATTGACTAGGTAAGTAAATAATTGACTAGGTAAGAAGAGACGTGACTAGGTAAGTAAATAATTGACTAGGTAAATAAATAATGGACTAGGTAAGTAAATCATTGACTAGGTAAGTAAATAATTGACTAGGTAAGAAAAGACGTGACTGGGTAAGTAAATCATTGACTAGGTAAGTAAATAATTGACTAGGTAAGAAAAGACGTGACTGGGTAAGTGAGTAAACTAACCTTAAGATGTTCTCTAAGAACAAGAAGAAGAAGACAACCCTGGCCAACTGTTAAACTCTTCTGGAAACCTGCCAGGGAGTCAGGGAGTCGGGAGTACACACTCTCCTTATCTTCATCCAGGTCTTCATCATAAACAACCTGGAGAACATGGATATATACAACCTGAAGTACATGGATATATACAACCTGAAGTATATGGACATATACAACCTAGAGTATATGGATATATACAACCTGGAGTATATGGATATATACAACCTGGAGTATATGGATACAGGGTGGCCAAAACTTTTTTGAACAAATCCGTACAAAAATCCGTACATTTTCAGAAGAAATCCGTACAATCCGTAAAATTTTCGAAAAGATATCCGTACAATCCGTACATTTTTTTAAACCAATCCGTACATTTTTTTAAAAAATCCGTACATTTTTTTAAAAAATCTGTACAATCAGTACAATTTTCGAAAAAAACCATTAAAATTCAATTTTTCATTCATTGTCCTTTGTGTTCAGTTCATGTATGTAAGAGGGTTTAAACTTCTTCAGCAAGAATCAATCTGTAAAAAATTGGCTTCATACATATATACAAACTAAATACTGGGTACATGATACTAGGTGCATGATACAGGATACTGGATACATGATACAGGATACAGGATACTGGATACAGGA